GATAAAGATCTAATCGAAAAAATATTGTCCGCTTATATATGTTACTGACCAGCAAGCATTGATGATGAGGGTGATGACTTCAATCCACCCGTGTTTGTGGGGACAGAACATTTTGTATGTATCAGGCTCTTAATAATTGAGAATAAGACAGTCAATCTGTGATATAGATTGTCTTCCTACAATCACCACTCAGACTCATGTTTCCAATTTTATGCTGGATTAGCTATTCTACCAAGACAACCTATAACATGCTGACTCGGACTTTTACTATAGGACTGTGTGGCTGGCATCGGATAGACAAAGAAAGAAAAGAAAGAAGAAATTAGACAGTAAAAGATATGATCATAAGTACTCTTAACACTTTACCCTCTATATACACACCCTTCTAATAAACCGCTTCCCTTGTACCAACCTTGACTTCCCTTCCTTCATGTGAGCTTACTCCGACTTGTTAAACATCACAACTCATTGTTCCTTATTAGTACATTCTCTAATATGGAGCCTCTGACTTCATTTCACTTTAACAAGACAGTATGAATTTATTCTAATTTATTATACCTCTGTCCGTTCTATTACACAATGTTAAGCAACGTTTGGCGTTCATATCCAGGTGCCTTGCTGCTCTTCTTTTTCTCTTTTTTTCTTCAGAATCTTGCTCTGAGAGCACAACTATGAAACTTCTGACGTTTGGAACAAACTTGACGCACGCGTCCTATCAAGGTCATAGCTTACAGCAAGCGCTCTACGATTTCACTTTATAACAACTATAAACTTAATAAGTTGGGAAACATTTTGTGAACTGACAAATGTTGTAATTTATAGATCATGCCTGTAAAAATGGAGTGTACATGCTCATGCAGAAATATATTATTATTATTATCATATGTTTTAATGTTTATTAACTTCATAATTGTTGCCACAATTGTTTAAGGAGCTCAGTTGATTAAGGACATAAGATTATCACCATCAGTGCCAAAAATAAACGTTTTTACCAGTAAGGGAACATTGTCCTACCTTTTCTGGATAGCTTACGTACATTTTGTTTAGGAAATGATGTTTGACTGGATAAAAATATCAACAATAAACTTATGAAGGATTATAGACTTAGTTACTTGTTACAACAATGTATGTTTACGGTTCTGAAGATTGGCTTCATTTGTAGATCGAAAATCAACACTTCTAGTCAGTTAAAGTTACATGTAATGGGAGAATAAGTCAACATGGCCACCGTTATAATCAGAGTGTAGAGTAAAACAACTTTAATGTGGTTTATGAGAATCATAGAAAAATGAAAGATTTTTGCACTAAGGTATGTGTTATAGCAATGACTTTCTCACAACAGGAGATAAATATTAGCACTCATTTTGTAGACATTATGACAATAAGAGAAGCGGATACCTTTAGCTATCAAAACAGATGGTCCCTGGTCAGATTCTGTAGTTTCTAAACTAAATTGTTTCGGAATGGTAACTTCTAGGTTAGTTAAGATACGTGCTATCGTTCAATTGAAACCAAAACAAAATAATGGGTAAATGACAGTTTAATAAGTTATACAACCAATAATTGTTCAATCAGTGGTCGAATTGGGTGCAACAAATAGATGCCACTCTACCTTTTCTAGATAGATCACGAACAGGTCGTTCGAAAGATAATATTAACTTGTGCTATAAAGAGGAGTGTTTCTAGTTCTTGAAGAGTGCTTCGATTCATGATCAAAAGATGCACAGTTCCAGTAATTACAACGAACACAATCAAAAAGGGAAGTGTTTAACAACTTGGATTGATTAGTTAAGAGTTGACCTCAAAACGATAGAGCTCAAGTTTTCATTGACTTCTCTATTTCGTATAGGCATTATATCTCCTATTATTTAATGTCGAATATCGAAAAGCTTTGTATTCTTGAACAGGTGACCGCCAACTCCACTGTGACTGTTCCACGATCTAAATAGAGACCTATTCACTACCAGTTTGGTTTCTTCTATCAGTGGAACGAGGGTCAACTTGAGGCACGAAAAACAACCCAATGTCACTGCCGACTTGACTAATTATCAACTCGAACAAAATAATTGGGGTTCAAGAAAAGCATGGAAATTTAGTCAATACGTAAGGAAAAACAGAAACTACAATAAAATTAAATGGTACAATCTTAAGTGAAAACAAAAGGATTACCAGAATATATATCTGAAGGAATCGAGAGGAGTAAATTGCAAGTGCATGTATGAGGGGATTTTCATACACAACCCTTGAAAAGAATCTTCCAGGTTGTTGGGATATTCAGGAAAATATCCCAAGAATTATTATGTTAAGTCTAACGCTATCCTTGGACTTGAGATGGTGTCATTTTCTTATTGGTCAATATTTATTTCATGTGTCATTTTCCTACTAGTCAATATTGTACAATGTTATTTTCTATTTTGCGGTACGATGTGGTCTGTTTGATTGGTATACAAACAGAGTATGTCTGAAATATAATGATTCATATCTCCGGGGCTGAGACTTGTGTTCTGGATTCAACTGGCTGGACTAGACAGGAAAGAGGGACCATTCAGAACCCTGGGCCGTTCTTAAGTGTTTGCGCGTCTTTGGTCCGATCGACAATTCGCTGTCCTCTAATCTGCCGTCGCAGTTATAGCACAGGTGCACTTAATTAGGCATGTTACTCCTCGTGAAGGAGCATAGGCCGCTCACCACCATTTTCCATCCAAAACTGTCCTGGACAATCCTTAACAGTTCTTTCCAGTGGTTATTCATCCTTTTCGTATCTGATTCTATTTCCCAACGTGGTGTGCTCTCTGGCCTTCTTTTCCGCTTCCCTTCAGGATTCCAATTTAACGCTTGCCTCGTGATGCAGTTTGATGATTCCCACATTGTATGTCCTATCCATTTCCTTCGTCGTTTCCTAATTTCCTCATCTGGAAGCTGGTTTGTTCTCTCCCACAGAAGGCTGTTGCTGATGGTATCCGACAAATGGATGTTGAGTATCTTGCGTAGACAGCTATTTATAAATACTTGTACCTTCTTGATGGTGGTTATTGTAGTTCATAAAGTTTCAGCTCCATACAGTAGAACTGCCTTGACGTTCGTATTGAAGATTCTCACTTTGATATTGGTTGAAAGTTGTTTTGAGTTCCATATGTTCTTCAATTGTAGGAATGCGACCCTTGCTTTGCCGATCCTCGCCTTTACGTCTGCATCTGAACCTCCTTGTTCATCGATGATGCTTCACAGGTATGTGAAGGAATCTACATCTTCCAGAGTTTCGCCATCAAGAGTGATTGGATTGCTGTTCTCCGCCTTGAATTTGAGGACCTTGGTTTTCCCTTTGTGTATGCTGAGGCCTACTGATTCAGAGACTGCTGCTACACTGGCTGTCTTCATCTGCATCTGTTCGTATGTACGTGATAGGAGGGCTAGGTCATCTGCGAAGTCCGAATCGTCTAATTGGTTGTGAGCTGTCCATTGTATTTCGTGTTTTCCCTCAGATGTTGAGGTCTTCATAATGCAGTTGACCACCAGAAGAAAGAGGAAGGGAGACAGTAGACAGCCTTGTCTGACTCCGGTCCTTACTTGGACTGCATCTGTCAGCTGTCCTCCATGCACGACTTTGCACTGTGGTCTGTCGTGTGAGTTCCGGATAATGTTGACAACCTTCTCAGGAACTCCGTATGTCGAAGAAGTTTCCATAATGTTTTCGTATCTACACTGTCAAGAGCTTTGTCATAATCGATGAAGTTGATTTACAGTGACGAGTTCCACTTAATTGATCGTTCGACGATGATCCTCAGTGTCGCAATTCGGTCTGTGCACGACCGATCCCCACGGAATCCAGCCTGTTCCAAGTGCATCCTAGGCAAATAAAGCGACTTGCATTATTCACCGCAAATCTCCTCAGCAATCGCTGTAATTCGTTTGTCAACCAACGTTGGTTGTCAGGTGATTTGAAGAACTTTTCCAAATAGGCACGAGATATAGCTTTTATGATTGTCGTCGTGTGAGTTTAACCCGAGTAATTTTTAAGGTACTGGGAAATATTATTTTCACACCATTTAAAAACGTGAACAAAAGCTAGTTCTTTCTGAAAATATCCATAAAATTACTAGTAGCACTGTAGATCACCAACTCAGATGATCTATGTAGAATGATTGGAGGTCTACTCGAGTTAGACGGAAATGGTGTGACGAACCGATCAAACTTCGCGGTCAGAATCTATCATGGATTACCCCTTCAATGTATCAAGGTACCATGGTTACTGTGAAGACCGTATACCACAAAGGATGTTGTTGTGGAAATATATTAGTAAGAATGAGTACATAGAACATAGCGAGACCACCACCGCATGCTTCAGTTGATGGTATACGATTAACTGATGCTCGTTGGCTGCCATTGACTTTGACAGGGATCGATGATCTATTCGATATTCAGTGACCCAACTGCCGAATGATTTGGCTAGGGCTCAGTGACATTTCACTGCCCGTACAGCACTATGAAGTTGCTGTGCTTTGAACTGTTAGGCGCTACCTATATAAACAAACTTAATCGGTGCCATGGCTGCTTTCTACAAGGTCTTAAGTAACAAGTTTCTATCTATGGACTTTCTTTTCAAGACGAAACAAACCATATTACACTCATTAACTTGGTTTCGTCCTGTCACTTCGTATATACCATTGTGTTCTCAACCTTATAATAGTTTAGATTGTTTAGTTTTCTTTTCTTGCTGACTGATATATTTTTAACTTATCACGCTTTAGGTAAGTCATATCAGTCAACTGGCTGGCAAATGGTCCAAATATAGCTGTCTTTGTCAAACTTGGTTCCCTCCGCAAAAATGACGCTCGAGAATTTGTTGGATTCGCTAGCATAACCTCAGTCAAAGGCCTAAAAAACACTGTTAAATGCAGCTGATTATCCGCCATAGACCTCCTGAAGTCAACACACTGGGAGAAAGAACTAGCTGTTTTGTACAACCTTAAAAGTTCGTCATGTGATTTTTTTTATTGGATCGAAGTATTGTCGCGCTGAGTTTATTATCATTCATGTAGCGCACTGTTCAAATCACCTTGTATTGTTTCCCGTGCGGTAATAATTGTTACCTCTTGGCTCCACTGTTAGGTGTAAGTAAATTATGAGCTCCTACTTAGGGGCAAGCTCTCTTTTGTCTCATGTTGATATGGCAGCGTCCAGAGCCCCACATCAATGAGGTATTTCCAGTTAATTGTTTCAACAAATTACCGGTAAACTTCTTGGCCATCTTAAAGACTTTCTGGTTTTGGGAGTTATATTCCCATAATTTAAGGTCGTAATGATTTGGTTCAATGAATAAAAAATTAGGTGAGCAGAATTCGGACGCATCTATGTATGGATTAATTCAACAAATTGATACCATTCTAATTATTTGGGTCCTGTTGCCATTTGGCACTTTCTCTTTGTCTTCATTTTAACATTTGCATCATCCTGCTTAATCTGGGAGATTCCAACAGTGGGGTGTACACTACATCTCGATTATGATTTTTTTAGTTTGTTTAAAGAAACCGCTAAATTTTACACTATTGACGTAAAAAAATCCACAGTTACGTAATTTACTTTTCCGACCAACCCTAGCTCAAAAGGAAACAAAACACCGTAAACTATGTAGGGTGCTCAAATTCGATTGTTATTTTGTTACACTTCCGTCATTTAGAGCACGTTGGATATGGCATTGACTTTCATTATCTAAGGACGATTAACATTACAAAACTTCATCTGTTGAAGTATTCAGAATGAGGTTCAGACGTTTAGTCTTATGGTCAGATGGTATGTCTTTTAACTACTGTGATGATAATCAGTAGAGATCCCTGAAAGTGCATTATATCTGTAGTATCTAGACATCACCCACTAATTACTTGTTTAGTGTGAATCAATAGTCGCCACTCTCGTTTGAAGTGGAATTGTTTCTTTTTAATGAAGCCTAAATACAATTACCATCTGATTCTGCATTTCTACTTGTGACAATCTGCTTCTGCCATACTTCGTTTGTTGCTATCATCACAATATCGCAAACACGACCATCATTTTGATTTATTATATATTTATTAGATGGGGACGGAGGTGTTTGAGATTTCATGTATTAGTTAACGTAATACCCCAGAATGATCAAGTTTCTGATTTGTTCGATTTTCTGTTTGTTTGTATTAAAATATTCCACAGCTGAACTCGACGAAGTTTACAAACTGGGCCAAATATTGTCACGAATATTCACTGTTAACTGCTTCTGTCTCTCCAACTGCATATAGAAATGGAGACTTTTGCATCATACATTTCAGAAAGGCTGGGTACGGATGTTGTGGCTGTTCGTCTACTTTTATCCATGTTCATGGGTTTGTTTATCGGCATAGCTCATTTTCGTTATTAACTTTTTTGTTAGGTTATCCTATCGCTTTTGTATACAACATGAAGGCAAGCTCGTGGAAAATTTCCTATCGACATCTTTACTTGTTTACCTGTGGTGTCCTTTTGTTCCTGTGGAATTTTGGTAGATTCATGTTGCCTTTATTGTTTTTACCTCTAGGTTTTGATATTGTGCATATGTTTGTTGGGATTTTCGCGACACTGTTTGTTAATTATTTGTTTATGCACTCGAGAACTGCCGTCACCTTTGCTTTCGTGTTCAATATGGTTTGTTTGCAAATAAATTTTAATCGCTATCAACTAAAAGGGATATTTAATTATCGGCTCTCATATATGTAACCGAGGTACCTATGATATAAATTGGACAACACCGTATTGTGTTCTTTGTTTGCGAATGATTGGACTATCATGGGATTTGTATGATGCATCTAAAACAGAAGTAAGTATCGGTCACCATGGGTTTTGGGATTGTTTCATTTTTTCAAACTATGGTAAAGTAAATTTCACTTAGTATAGCTACCTTGTCAGAATTTGGACTATATTGGGTTTGGGATATTAAAATGTTTGAAATTGGAAAAAGCCTCATGAATTTCTGAATTGGTTCATGCTCTTAAATTTTCAACTCAAAATTTATAAAGTTTTAGTTTTTCACACTTCTTTTCCACGAATTACTGAAAATTAGTGGTGATAGGTCTCCCAAAAAATTCTTCAGGAATCTCACATGAAGTGATCAGGATGTCGGTCCGTAGTACATCTGATGTCTCAATATATTTTGGCTGAAATCAGTATTTAGAATTCGTCATCACGAAATAGGATAGTGAACTGGCGGGTTGCTAAATATCAGCTTGTAAAATAAACTCTGGTTACCGGTGTTTATTTTCTTACTGCTTAGATAAATTTTTAGGTATTAGCCCCCAAATGCCTTGGTACGCCCGAGAGTGGGGAGAGTCCTCTCCCTCTCGAAATGCTCTCATATGGCCACGCGTATATAGTCTCTGCCAGGGAAGTCCTCCTCACTACCTTCTCGTGGCAGGGGTGTTGTTTACGAAATCGAGAGGACGAAAAGCGAATATCCGGCGCTTTAACCGGGTCAGTGGACATGGGTAGTCCACCTAGGGGAGTTGGGAAACCCTTATTTCAAGCCAATGGTGCACATGCGCTCCAGTACTCTGGGGAAACAAATGGTGTATGAACCAATCGTTGGTCACCGGCTACCATGGGACTGCATTTCCTTACGATGCTCCATTGCCTCGCGGATCAGAGCTTCAGGTCGAAGGCTGCGGGTGTGGCCCCCTAAGAAAACCACCTACTTCGGTTTGGGCACCCGGGCAGTATCACAGTCCTCACACATATCAAATGAGATCTGTGTGGTGCATATGTATTTGGTGCCTCCTTGTACCAATATCTATGTGTCAAAATAAAATAAAAAAATAGTAATCCAGGATAACATTGATTTCCCTTTTTTTGTGTTTTCTTAGAGTAAGCAAGTTTCAGCAAACCTAACATTTTTCATTCATGTTTATCATATGTCGTGTGATTTAGTAGAGGGGAGAACAAATCACAGCACTTTATATTGTACTCACTGAGTCCGGAAAACAACTTCACTGATATCGATAATCTTGATCCAAATAGTGTTAATGGTGCACGCCTGAGACCATATTAGGTTTTAAATCCGGAATCTATACTTGAAGCATGTACTATATAATGAGCCATACAATATCTAGATGACGAGTTCTGAATGGAACAAAATGTCCACTCTAATTTTCAATTTCGACTACTATCAAAATTGTAACTAAGATAGTAGAATTCGAAGCATTTGGAGTCAAACGAATTAAATGAAGTTACTCCAAAAGCACTGATTTTAATTCTGTTTCTAATACTACTATCCCAGTTATCTAACCATATTACTCAAATAATTCTTAGCTTTGTGATTTTGTGTCATTGGTTTTCAAGTTGGTAGTTATGTACACATAAAATCCACACAGTCATTCGTTGCAGGTTTACAACAATATCCAATTCATAAAACCACTTTTTATTCATACTTTTTTCCTGTTACCTTTGTCACGCAATCAGTTCTGCATATATTCTGGCAATCGTACTCATGCAGCATCTTGCTATTTGTTTTCGATTTATTATTTAAACACAAAAGAAGGTATAGGGAGACACCAACTATATATGCGCCACACTTCATTCTATTTGTTTGAGGGCTGGAATACTTCCAGGGAGCCGAAACCGAAGCAGGTGGTTTTTTAGGGGGCCACGCTCCACACCCTTGACCTAGAGGTCCAATCCACAAGGCAGGGGGCAATATTAGATGCAGTCTCATGGCAGCCAGTGACCAACAATAGGTCCATACTCCATTTTTCCCCTCAGGATTGTGAAGCGCATATGCACCACTGGCTGGAAGCCAGGGTTTTCCAACTCCCTTAGGTGGATCCTTCATATTCATCGACCTGGTTAGAGCTCTGAACATTCGGTTTTCGTCCTCTCAATTTAGTAAACAACACCCTCAGCACTTGAAGGTAGTGAGTATGACTTCCATGACAGTGGCTGTAAACTTGTAGTCATAAGAGAGCATTCGAAGAGGGAGAGCTGACTCTCCTCACTGTCGATTGTACCAGGGCATTTATGTACATATATTATGGCACATGTTTCTTTTTTTGATTTTGGTAAGTTTTGATCCATTCTGGCACTAAATGGCTCATCGATTCGTTGAACAGTAGTTTTCAGTAAAATACCAAACATTCATTCGATTCGTTAAAGATGCATCATATTGTTAGAGTAATCAAGGGGATTATAGTTAAGGATACCTGTAAGTGGTTCATATGTTCACATATCTAAAACTACCAGAATATTAGAATATGAGAGTTTTAACATTTTGATAAATAGTTTTCATGTAGTCTGTCTGTAAGTTAATGGCAATACCATACGGAAATAGTTGTAAGGTAATCCTTTTACTTACTACAGCGTTTTTGCTGCAACGTTTTACAGATTTTTATTTTTAAGTTGTTGGGACGTCAGAGTTAATACTAGTTAGCGAGTACCATTCCAACTAAATATGAATTTGTCTTATTTTCTCTAGAGTCAACGTTCGGTTTCTCAAAGAAAGTCAGCTTTATCTAGATTTCCTGGAGTATTGGAGACATTAGCTTTTTCTTTTACTCCGACAGCTTTTCTTACTGGACCCCAAGTGAGTAACTTTTTCTGTCAGTCGATTAAACTAAATGTATTTCGATCCGATTATTATTAATACCTATCTGATTCGCTTATGTAAATCCGTTAAATGATGTTTATATCCTACTGCTCAGACTACTGTTCATTAATTGATTCTTTGTTAAATACTGAGTATTCTTTAGGTATAATCATTAAAATCGATAAATGTTGAAGCGATCAGGGTAACATTATTTGATGGCTCCGTAGTAGTTTTTTCAGAACGTTATGCTGTAAGATTTATATTCTCAAATTAAATTTTACTGTTTCATTTCGACAGTACAAAGGATTTTGTATTGTCGATAAATATGATATGATTGACAGAAAACACTCATTTTCTTTTAAAATAACGTGTATCAAGCTAGCTAATTATTCTTTTGTATTGAATTAAGGCATTTTTAGTAGCTGTGTTAAAACTGTTTCACTAGTTCGTTACGCAACACTGTGCACCAATTGTTATTATGTAGAATGACAATCTGAGCTGCACTATCAAACTAGTTAACCCAAAAAATAAGCAGTTTGTTTATTTTGTTGTTAATATCATGACTAAGAAGTCATGCTCATTATACTTGGAATCAATCTGATTGCTTTCTTGTAGTTTTCAGGTTCAAACTTTTTTCCAGCTGCTTAATGTTACTAGTTTCCTTATGTATTGTGTGACTCAAATCTAATTCTACTAACTTGTACTTATTAAACCTCAAACGGTTCAGCTGTAACCATCTTCCCTCTAGAATACTCATAGTATTTTGCAAGTGGTTACTCGGTGTATTAAGATAATCGGTTGGATTATTTAACGGTTTTTCCAGCTAAATGCCTCTTCTCTATTATGCCAATTTACTTATTGTAACTTCATGTAGTTGCTTGGTTATAAATTGTACTTCACCAATTAAGTAGTTAACGAATATATTGTGCGAATGACCCTAATTTACTTGGCTTAAAAACAAACTACAATGGGTTAGTTTTTTAATGTCCTAAGGAATATTCACTTAATGTGCTACATCTATCCACATGGTAATTTAATATTTCTAACCAATGAGAACCAACTTGGCATCACAAAACATTTGGTTTAACACTACTACATCAGTGACAGGTAAAAAAAGCGTTTTATAACTCATTGAAATATACTTCCTACCTGCGATTATGGTATTTTTGTTTATATTTTAAGTTTCCCATGCGACATTTCCAAGCATTCATTGATGGATCATTAAGGCCAGTAGTCCACTTAAGAAAGAGCACATTTAAACACCGTTTAATCTATAATGCCAAGTAAGTATTTATGTTCGTTTTATTTTAACATTTTTTTCATTGTCATTGACGACATAGCATTTGTTGTCCGTTAAGTTCTTTAGTCTGAATAAATTTATTACAAGTTGTGCCTTAACTATCTCGATTTCATTACTAGATTTAGTGTTACCAGCTCTCACATATAGTATTGTTCAAAATAGAGTGAAGAGATCTGTTGTTAGTTACCGAGTTGCGTAAATTGGTTTTAATAACTAATCACAACTCAGTAATAAATTAAACTTGGGTACAATCTACTCAAATGTGAAAAATATGACTGGAATATGTACTCTAAACGTTTAATCATACATATGTGGCAGAGGCTTTGTTGTGTATTAATATCATTAAACAACGTATTCCATAATGCACATCTCATTCGTTTTAAAACTTCAACTGTACATGCGTCTAAACCATTCACAATCTGTCAGTATCACTAAATTTTAAGTCATATATAATTAATAAATACATGAATTATTGTATCTTGGATTCCTCTAGTTGTAAGTTTTGGTTTGACGCACAAACCGTTGTTGTATGCTTCACATATCGCAAGTTATTATCAATTAAGTACGGACATATCATATAGTTGTTTTCGACTTGCGGTTTACATACTTACGTCTGTTACTCCTTGTGGAGGAGCATAGACCTTTCACCATCATTCTCCATCCAACTCTGTCCTCGGCAATCCTTTCCAGTTTTTTCTAGTTGCTGTTCATCCCATTGATGTCTGTAGTGGCTTTGCTTCGTTAATCGATCACCCTCGCAACCGTTATTATATAAGCCTCAACGGTGTTTGAGATCAGAAGGCAAAGAGAAGTGGCAATTACAGTGTATTAGCGGATAGCACAGATCACAAAGCTATAAGCACATTGAGCGTATTTCAAGCGTAGAGGCGAATAAGTATATGGAAGCAGTTACATAGTCAAATTGCATAAGGGCGTAGCAAGGCAAAGCAAAAGCTAATAATAATACATGGAGAGGAGGATAATTCATGGAGTGATATTTAAGCAATCAGCACCTTGGCTCGAGTCTGTCATGTGATCTAGTGAGCATGACGGTACAATGAGATGTGCAAATTAATACTGTTCAAATAACATTGTCTGTAAGTAAGTTAATAAAAGGGCTTAACCAGAATTAACCATAATCGATATTGGTTGTATGATAGTTGCTATAGTCTGCTTCCGATACACGACGCAGTGTGTTCTTGGGTGTTCCTCTTTCCCGTTCCCCCCTCAGGATTCCAATTTAACGCTTGCCTCGTGATGCAGTTCGATGATTTCCGCAATGTATGTCTTACCCACTTCCAACTTCTTTTCCTAATTTCCTCTTCATCTAGAAGCTCCTCCACGAGGAGTAACAGACGTAAGTATGTAAACCGCGAGTCGAAAACAACTATATGATATGTCCGTACTTAATTGATAATAACTTGCGATACGTGAAGCATACAACAACGGTTTGTGCGTCAAACCAAAACTTACAACTAGAGGAATCCAAGATACAATAATTCATGTATTTATTAATTATACAATAAAAGTATGGGTAATAATAACTTGTAGAAGAGTTCTAAAAGTTCAGCTGTGCTCAATATTTACCTCGTTAAGTCGATGGTGCACTACTATATCTTGTACTATACTCGATCTAAATCTCTCATTGCATCTTTAAAAAATCTAGACTATGTCATAGATCATTAACAAAAGTTTTCGTAAATAGATTTTCTCCAAATGAATGTAAATTAATTATTAAAAGTAGCTTGGGTAATTTAGAACGTCGTTAGTTGTTTTTAATCAGCTTGCTGCTAATTTTCGTACTGTTTATTGACGTTATATTGGTTATTAATAATTTGCCTTTACGATCCACGTACAAATACACCTTGTAGAACAGAAAGTAGTTTTCTAAACCTGTTCAAAATGAGGAATGTTTGGATGGATTATGGTAACAGTAAAATTATATACTATTTAAAGACGACTCAAGACAAATGCATAAATATAAAAGAAACAATACAAAAAGGTATGAAGATAATTAAAGCTGAAATAGTGAAAACAACTGTAAAAATTAGTTTTTGTACGCACATATATGGGTTTATATTGTTTGTTACTAACACTTCTAAATTCCAAAAGATATGTACCCATACACCTTTCGGTAAGTTAGACTCATTCTTATAAATAATATCGAATAATAAGCTTCTGGATGATTTCGGTCAACTACGTGTTGTGAAATGTAAAACAATTTACCTTCATATTACTCATGTTTGTTTACCAATAGACGATTGTTCTAATATGGTTCAAATTCGTTCTCACTGTATCACGTGCATTCACTCTTCTTTTAGTTCTTAAGCTTCTGAATTACCCTATACGATTTTTTTTATTCCACCAATTTATACTTTCTATATAAGAACTTTCTATCACTTGCAGTCTTAAACCTCAAGCCAAACAATACCAAGTGAATTTCGATAGAATAGTTTCATAGTATTTGGGCGCCGAGTTGATGTGAGACATTAAAGAGAAAGAACGTATTTGTAAAATTCAGCCAATGAATTTGAAGTAAATCCAACTTTTCGCCTGGCAATCTGGTTCAAGCTTTTTCAAGGAAATATAATCAAACGTCAAAATTATCGAATATAAATAGGTACATGGTTCTCCGGTTCACTGTATACTGAATAGGTCATCCAATCAACGTTAACAATGTTTAAAGTAGGTATTTACATTAGTGTGTAAGAGACATGTGTGAAATGAAAAGTGTGTTAATATGACAGATTGTGTGTATACGCAAGTGAGAAGAAATTTCATTCACTATATATTGTCTCTGGTCGGTGAAGTTTAAGGAAATATATACTTTTTATAAATGATATGAATCGAAAATGTCGCAGCATGCATAAAATGAAGATAACTAAACAAGAAATTCACTTGGTATTGTTTACTTGAGTCAAAGAGGAAAAATGTATTTGTAACCGAATGTTTGTGTTATTTTAATGTTCCAGTTAATTATTTAACATATTCAGATAAGACAACTGACGAATCGTTGAATGTAATATCTGTTCATTAGTTAATACTAGATAGACAGAACGGAATAAGGAGTTCAGGTTTACTTATTAATTATTAGTTGCCATGGGACAGCTAGTTGTATTCCATCTCTCCTATTAATACTGTTTGGATTGGCCTATATATGTAGGGCTTCGGCTTTTAGTCTTTCTTTGTAAGAATTAACGCCTTTTTGAATGATTATCGTGCCTTTGGAATCAACCGTATGACCCGATTCTATCGAGTGTAATTTTATTGCTGATTTGTTCTCTAGTTTTCTAACATCGTCTGAGGATTTACGAATGTCGTTTTTAAACATAGTTTGTGTTCCTTCACTCCCACATCCAGTTCTGATGTTTTGATCAAAACTAGTAAGAATCAAAGATCGAATACACAAGGAGGAGTAACGAAATTGTGTTTATGAAATCAAATGTAGTGAGTGTAATGCAACGTATGTAGGTGAATGCTTTAATTTTTACGAATACCTACTTTAAACATTGTTAACGTTGATTGGATGACCTATTCAGTACACAGTGAACCGGAGAACCATGTACCTATTTATATTCGATAATTTTGACGTTTGATTATATTTCCTTGAAAAAGCTTGAACCAGATTGCCAGGTCCCAACCGTAACTACTACCTTGACGCGGTGGTCGGACTTGCCTATCATGATGGCCCAACCGAGCTATATTGGCCGGAACATATGTTCCTGTAGGTTCTACCATGCCAGGCAGGTCGATTGGAGAACGGTAAGACTAAAAGCAGCAGCTCGAAGTCTGAGGGCGAAGTCGTACTGCTGACTGTAGAGGGGTGTGACAGCAGTAAGGTGTTTCCCTCGGACAACTAGCATCTGCAGTGTTGCTGCCTTCTCACAAGGAAGGAGGGGGTTAGAAAAGGTTGAGCCTAAAAATGTCACACCTCACCTTACCTCACGGATTTCCATCTCCGGTGGTAAGGCACTTTGAAGAACGGAGCTAACACATCAAAAACCTCCCACGAAAAGGCCTTGCGCAACCGGCCTCAAGCAGTTGTCCCTTGGGCTCTGCGGTCACACTCCCAGATCGTTAAGAGCAACACTAATCCAACTTCCTTTTCAGGTTCCTCAAGAAATACCCTTACACGGTGTGGGCAGCCGGGAAGTGACATCAGCCTTATACCCGTAACAGCACACGAGACCAAGTTGGTTACATTCAAATCCTTCCTACAGCTCCTAATAACTCTTATCTCCACGACTAACCCTTCTTACATTCCTTTATCACCTCGCGCCACTAATGCAAACGATTCGAGTACGCGGAACGTTATTCCCGAACTCCTGAAACCACGCTCTAAACTACATGTACTAGCTTTTAACGTCCGAACACTGTGCCAAATAGGACAACAGGTTTCCTCAGCTGGGACTTCAGAATCTCGCGCTGTTGACGTATACTGCACCTCCGAAACGTGTATACTGGACCCGAGTAGCGTCATTCATTTGACCCCACCATATCAAAATAGAGAACCATCTCGATTCACGCTTCGTGTATCTGAAAGCCCTGGTGCTGCTTCCCGTGGCCTCGTTGGTATAGGTATAGCATTGAGTCTTAGGGCAGAACTAGCTATCTTAGACTAGATACCAGTAGACAGTCGTTTGTGCGCTGTCCGACTAAACGGAACAGTAAGGACTCGGAAAGATAGGGACACTCGTCGTTGCCTCTTCGTCGTCTGTGCCTATTCTCCCACTGACTGCAGCTCAGGTGATGTAGAAGATGAGCTTTACAGAAAGCTTTCCAACCTTCTCTGAAAAGCCAGGCGCTCTGATGTAGTAATAGTGGCTGATGACTTTAATGCTCAAGTAGGTAAACTAAGTGAAAGGGAAAGACACCTAGGTGGATCTTATAGTGTCGTGGCTCAACGAACAGATTATGGCGACCGTCTGTTGCAGCTATGTTCAGATAACCGCCTGTTTCTTGCAGATACTAACTTGAAGCATAAGCGAAAACATCTTTTGACATGGTGACTCCTGAATTCATCTCAACGTTGGACCCAAATAGATCACATGGCTATCAGCCACCGATGTAGGGGCTCGATAGAAGACTGTCGCTCATTCTGGAGCACATGCTTAGACTCTAGTGCGAGCGCGAAATCGTCTGCTTCTTACTGGACGTAGGGAAGACACTGCAAGGAAATCTCTTAGGGCCCTACTCAGTGATAGCCAAGCTAAGAATATATGTCAGGAACAACTAGAAAAACAGTTAGGCAGCCGTGTAAGTGACGTCCACCCCGAGGCAGCATGGATTGATATCAGAAAAGCTGTGGAAACAACAGAGATATCTGCTAGTACGGTAAACCATAAGGTTTGGGAGGAAATACTGGATCTCAGCGGCATCTACCACACTGATAGATGCTCGAAAACTCATTCCACCTGGCTCTGAACATGACGAAGAGCGGAGCCAGTTTAGGCGCAAACTGATGAGAAGCCTACGCAATGATCGCGAACAGTGGTGGGTAGCGAAAGCAAAAGAGATGGAAAAGGCAGCGGCAATAGGCTACAGCAGATAACTTTTCAGAATCGTCAAGTAAACCGTTATTAGGAATCCAACTGTTAGCGAAACCATCTCGGAAAGATGGACATATGATTCACTCTCAATCCAGGAGATTTGATCGATGGGCAGAACACTTTAGGGATCAGTTCAACTGGCCTTCAGTCACACTTCGGTTTCCCACGATCTCCAGTCGACCTAAATGGCAAGTTGATGTAGGTCCTCCAACTCTTTACGAACTTGAAAAAGTTATAGGGAGAGTAGCAGGCCCTGACAGGTTTATCCCTGAGATTTTTAAGGATGGCGGTCCAGTATTAGCAGTGAGATTGACTGAGGTCTTAGGTAGAATCTGGGAACTGGACGTAATCCCATTTGACTGGTCGATAAGGAAGGACAAAAGTTCTCTTATGGCAATCACAGAGGAATCAGTTTCACTAATATAGTGTCTAAAATAATAACTTCAATAATACTTCGATGCCTAACTAAAGCTCCTGAAGAGCAGACTAGAGAAAACCAGGCCGGTTGTCGACCTGGACTTGGTTGTATAGACCAGATATTCACACTATGTCAGGTTCTAGAACACAGACACACATTCAGACGTTCCACAATAGTAGTATTTCTCGACCTTAAGGTAGCATTCGACTCTGTTGATCGTGAGGTTCTATGGCAGTGTTTGTCACTGAAAGGAGTACCAAAGGAGTACATTAACCTTATACAGGCTCTCTACTCGAACACAACTGGTTGAGTGAGAGCTTATGACGAACTGTCATCAGAATTGATTACCTCAAGTGGTGTTCGTCAGGGCTGTCCACTCTCCCCATTCTTGCCTAACTTTGTCGTTGACGTGCTTTTAGAGATGGCACTTTTCTCATCTAAATTTCTAGGGGTTGAACTTTTACCGGGAGATTCAATTGTTAACTTAGAATATGCTGACGACATAGTTCTATTTGGCGAAGACACTGACAAAATGCAGAGTCTTCTGACCACTCTAAGCAACAATGCAAGCATGTTCGGGATGCGATTCTCCCCCTCGAAATGCAAAATGTTGCTTCAGGATTGGGTTGCATCGACACCCGAACTAATGATAGGGAGTGAAGTAGTTGATTGTGTCGACCGCTTCACTGTTTCGGAAGTCTCATCAGCCCTTGTGGTTTGGTGTGTGACGAAATCTCAGCACAGATGCAGAAGGCTTGGCTAGCTTTTGCCAACTTGCGTCATTTATGGCGTGGGCGAGACATCCATCTATCAACCAAAGGAGGACGTGTTTACTGCTCAGAAGTTCGTTCCGTCCTATTTTATGGCAGTGAAACATCGTCGGTAAGAGTGGGGGGTATTCGTAGGTTACTAGTATTTGATCATAGGTGTCTTCGAAAGATTGCTCGTATCCTTGGACCACCAAGTAGGTAATTCAGTTGTTAAGATACGGATACTAGGTAAGGATGGCAAATCAATTGATGACGTAGTGAAACTTAATCAGTTGAGATGGCTGGAACATGTGTTACACGTACCCAACCACCGACTGTCCCGACATGCGATATTTTATGGTGTAGGAGTAGGTTAGAAGAAAGCTAGGGGCGGCCAGACCAAAACATGGCACAAATCCATGAAGTCACTGACTAGTGGACTGAACCATGTTGGTAGATGTAGACTATCTGACTGGGATCCTCAAGACGATAGCAACCGATGGTTAGAAACCTTGAATGACATGGCTCAAAATCGTTTGCAATGGCGCAGGTGTATCATCCACTCCTTGTGTTCTCCCAAATTCTAATCTTCTTAATTTTTATGTCCTTTTTCCCTCTTTCCAAATTTATTTCACCGTATCACATTCTTTCAATAACATCTCCAAACCCTAATCTTTCTGAATACTGCCTATACTTTTTCTACCTCTACCACTACGGGATTTGAATGGACAACTGCATCTCTGTCCTAATGTTGTATGGCAACTCGAACTGATGTATGTACGTACGAAGTTCTACGTTGTTGCTGACTGACTGACTGAGACTGCCATGTGGAACGTTGGGTTTATTTCAAATTATTGGCTGAACTTCACAAATATATTCTTTCTCTTTAATTTATTTTTCCCAAATCTTATCTTCCATGCCTAATCTTCTCTATTACCTCTACTATTCTGGAATTGGTCCTGACAATTTCATCTGACAATGTTAATGGAGTATGACAACTCGAACCTATGTACATGCGAGCAGTTTCTACGTTGCATAAGATTGATTGACTGATGAACAATCCTTAAATCACAACTTTTTTAGTCAGTTTGATTTTGTTATGATACGTGTTACTTAATTATACTCCTTATGTGTAACAGGTTCCATCGGACATTGAATCGCTTGGTATTGGGATATTTTGGCGTAATTGTTTTATCGAAATGGTTCGCAATGTACCCTGCCGATAAAATGTTAACTGATGAGTTTCAATATGTTAGTTTAACTGCACTTTGAATATACGATTAAATGGTTTATGTATGTTATTTCATATACACATGCTTTATGAAGTTGGGTTATTTTCTAATCTGTTTTATTTTCTTCTGAAAAGTTGTCACTGGTCTTCAATTTCATTTGTCTAAATTAAACTGCCCCATCACAAGATTCTGGCGGAAAAATCTTATTCAAAACAGTTATCACTGTAAATTATTGATTTTTTACACTTAGTTTCATGTTATACCATTTCAGAGTAAGTTTATTCGAATAATACATACAGAAGTAGCAAATATCTTACACTAAGATTGCAACAAAGGACTACTATTTTTCTCTTGAGAAGATTGTTTTGTACGGTTTCAATATCTTATTCTAATCATCTGCAGACATTCTTTGTATTATTTTATAACGCTTACAAATTATTTTGTTTTTGGCGGTATCTTAGGAGGGTAGAGGTTTGTTACTCAGATGAATGACAGGTGGAGTTTCGTTCTCCGAATTGTATGTTTTAATCATGAAGCGTTCATCGCTCTTTTGGAAAACATAATCAGCACAAAATGTAGGTGAAGGTGAACTATTGGAGTCCCCCCAAATATGTCTGACAGTTTTTCCCGTCCACCGTTCTCTTGCCTGGATATTTGTTTTGATTGTCTTCCATTTTGTCAACAATAACCAATCAAGATCGAGATCTACATGACAATCTATTAGTTGTTTTTTGGAGGAATTCGAATAACTTACTTCTGTTTGAATTTTGTACTAATGGTGTTGTTCAGAAGAACAGTGGGAGCCTCACAATCGAAAATTCCAACCTAGAGAAGGAAGCTTCATAAAAATTGGCTGTATCTGTTTCGTTAGTATTATCAGCCCGTTAATAATAAGTTTTGATAGTTGAATTAAATCTTTCAACTTCAACTGTCACGTCGCAATTTCTCATAATTGTTAATCTATTTTGATATGAGTTGTCGAATAATATAATAAGGTTTGCAATAAAATCCACCTTTAACCTGGTTACAGAAATCTGCTTTTGTAAATATGTTACATGAAGATTTAATACTTTTAAACCCTTCAATATTTATGTTTAGCTTCTCCTGTACTAAATTTTAATGGTTTTCTATCATAAAACAAATATACATTTTGTTATAGGAGCTGCCTAATCCACTGAAAGATTTACAACCATCAACTCACTGCAGGCTGAAATTTTAATAATTATTTTTTCGAGAAATATCTTAAACGTAGCATGTTTAGCTATAGATTAATGACGTAGATCCTAGGACAAGAGCTTTTATTTCTCAGTCTACTTCCAGTCTAGCACAGTAAACAAACACGAAGAAAAGTGAAATATACAAAACTAATGCAATACATTAAAAATAAGAAAAATGAAAATTGGGAAATTCAAAATACGAAATGGAGTGGATTGCACGTATCAACTTCTAAAATTACCCTTATTAATTAGAATTATGGGGAAGGAGAATTACTACCACGCTAGTAAAATAAATTGAGTAATTTCACTTGACGTTCTTACCGTAAATTTCGAAACATCGTGGGTATTACAGCATGTACGTATTAAACTGGAAGTTATTCTTCGAGGATTTTTATTGTGTCGTATCAGGTTTCTGTATTGATTTTAACATCTTTTACAAATGTTGGTTCTGATCAAAATGATTGCAGTTTCATTCATTTCATTAGCCTAAAATATTTCACACATGTACTTCTGGCACATATATAGCCTCCAACTTTTTGTCCAATGTACTAATTTTATTCTGCTGTTAAAGTTGACCTATATCTGTTTATTTATGCTGTGATTTGATTTAAAACTTTGAGTTCACTCACAGTTCTTATTTATACTCATCCATAATTTGCCGTACAAAAATCTAGTCGAATAAATAATTCCATTTTAATACTATGTGTACATTTTTTCCTCATTTATTTGCTTGAGGTAAATTCTAAATTCAGGTTTATGGTCGATGGGAAATCAGTTCATTGATTTGTTTGTTAATGAAAGTCTATCACTCAAGATGGTTTGTAGTGATTTCGTATAATTTGATGGCAGCTTTCATCAGAGCCTGGGATCATCTAGGAAACCATTGTAAACCAGGTAGAACTAGATGCCTATTTCAGTGTAGTTTGCGACTTTACAGTACCGTACAAACCCACTATCCTGCATATGAGGTTGAATTTCGGACATTCAGATCTCGGAATAAGGATGATACATTCAAACTTCTAAGTCGAAATACGGTAGTTTACGCTTCTAATTTTATGTTAGAATTTAGTCAGTTGAGCGCCAATGATTTTTTAATGATAGTTTTGTATCATGAATTGACGTAACAGTTAATTAACAATTAAGCTATATATATTAGTACAGCTAAAGATGGATTATAACTTTGTACATCCTTAGATTAGCAATTAGTGGTCAGCCGTATGATTTTCAGCCACTAAGGTACCAGTTCGAAACTCTGTCCACCTACCACGGTTTTGGCGATCGATTAATAGCACTGGTCATTAGAACTGGGGTTGTGTCTCAAAGCCAAGTGTGCGAATCTATCTATGGTAAATAAGTTGATAGTAGTATATGTACGTAGTCCATATGACCGTTATAATAATTAACTGACTGCGCATGAATTCACGCTTTCATTTTTGCCTTTCATCCTTATACATTCGAATGAAAATTTTGAATTTCTTTCATGCATATTATTAAGTGATGCTATAATTGGATGTGTTTTTATGTTGTTTTTTTGTTGAGTAATTGAAGTACAAATCAAATCAGTATATTACTGTTTTTTTACTTTGTCATCCTTTATACTGTCACTTTCGTTATTGAAAACTTTGTTTTCAGGAATGGAGTTTCTTTTCACGTCTGCTTTACATGATGATATTTGGACAGTTAACGTTATTACGTTATGTATCAATCTGGCTAATAGCTGTAAGCCTGAATTTTGTGTTACTTTAATAATGATTATTTTCATTGAGATCGTGAACCGATGAATGTTAGACCACCATTGTAAGCCTGGACGGCCGTTTCGTCTTAGTATTGGACTCCTAGTTTTAAATAATTCGACTAATTTATTGTGTCTAGTGCACACGTTTGCAACTAAATAGTATTTCGAAATTTGTTCACTAGCATATTTCGTCAGTTTACTATGATAATATCATGGACATGACAGTCTGTAGTCATAACTGGTTACTTCACCATAAAAATTAAATTGACCACTTTGGTCGTGGGAAAAAGGTCAACTTTTTATGATGTTCGCTGCTTACTTTTCACGAAGAGTTTTATCCTGTATTCTGCTAATTAAGTAGCATGTTGAACCATAATTAGAAAAGCAAGCAGATATCTTGAGTATAGTCTTTGTTGAAGTGTTTTTTGAATACATCTTATTGAGTTTTCTGTGGTTATTGTTGTTTTTAGTATTCGGTTACAAGGTTTCTCAAATTAACACTAAAATCCAAGGGTTACTGAGTAGCACAGTATGTTAGACCCAAGTTTTCGATTGTGTAGGAATATGCCAGGTGAGGGTGAACTTTTAAAATTAACACAATTTGATTGATAAGTATTAGGAGCTACCTCTGTATATTAAAAGATTCGAAGTCACTGTGATATTCTCCTATTAAATCTGTTCAAAATCTATCAGCAGTACATAAGCTTCTCTTTTTATTCGAGTGCAATTCATTTCTAGCATATGTACTTAATGTGATGTATATTTTTGGTTCACCTATTCTAGTTTACACGATTTAATGCTACTTCATTATTTTCTCCTAAAGGAAGGTTCTTGTGTTTTAATTGGGCTTGGATGTACTGGTTTTGTTCATATTAGATCTAAAGGATCTATTCAACTTCCCGATTTTATAACAAATAAGGATTCTGACACGCTTACACGTGACGGTCCTGTTTTAAAACGTCGGGATTCTGCTGTGGATTGGTCTCTTGTAGAAAACTATATCAAATCCCATGCAGAACTTTATGATCCTGCACAAATGATAGTACGTGAAGCTCCTCATACAGCCTGTGCAAATATATCTTTAAAACGATATATTTTCGCAACAAATACTGACGATCTTGTCGCTGGTTTCAACATCAATACCAACAGATGGCTTTTAGAGTAAGTTTGTTGTCTTTTTACATTTATGAAATACTGAATCGACAGTCTGTGTATAAATGAATAGTAATTATTTATTGTTTTGTGTGAAGGTATGTAAAAATGGTTCTTAAGATATCACATATTTTGGTACCAGCCTAAATGTATCGAATGCTTTGTAAGTAGATCAGAGGTTTTGTTATTTCTGTATTTCTTTTAATGTAACAGGTTTTTGTGAAAAACTAATTATCATGATTGATGACATCTATTCTGTTTTATTATTACATATCATGAAATTAATATGTGTGGTTTTTGGAGCTAACTGTCTAAAAGTGATAATTTTTATTGTTTGGTTATGGTATTTGCTGTCAAATAGTCAAGGATATTATTGGTAAATTGAACATGTATGATTTAATTGCGTTTTGTATCAAATTCCTTTTCTTTTATTCCGTCAAATATGACGCTCATTTTTATTAGTAGTCTGGAGTGTGTATCGTAAATGGTCTGTAAAATCAAGCATCTTGTGTTGTTCATTAACAGTCAAACATTAACGTCAAACTATTCGGATTCACCAATTTACATCTTCTATTCTATATAATGAATATGTGATGTGCAAACTATATAATAATTCATATGATTTACCCTAACTATCACATTTTCTCTTTTACGCAAAATAATTCATTACTGTTGTGATTATTTTTTTTACATCTCGTTCTTTATTCTACAATGTGAACTGTTACACTTCTCTTGATATGTTATTCTTCCAGAATAGTAGAGTATGGGATTGGGTACTATCAAATGATCACTGGCTACTATGGTCTGTGCTTAGAACTCTCTTGACTTCTTTAGTCCTTGATAAAAGGTCATTCTATTCACAAAGAAATCAAGCTAATTACTAGAACAAAAATTTCCCGTCAAGGTGATATTTGTTGAGTTATTGTAAAAAGTCATTCTGTAGCTTTGAGATTTCATAGTCATCCAAAATTTGGAATGATAATATTGGAGTCTAAGACCTGCTTATTTATTGTGTAGTCATAAATTCGTCAAAAACGTATACTTTATTTGTCATATTTAAGATCCATCTTTTAAGTATTCTAATCACGCTGTTATTAGGATGAATAAGATTTCCAAAAGCTTTCAAACAGTTAATGAGGAGTAGATCTGCCAATCTTGATGTTTCTTGTCAAACCAAAGTTTTTTCTTGAGAAAATGCTTTCTTTGTAAGGCATCTCTGACTCGCATAGAGAAAGATCTACATGCCAATCAGTAGAAGTTGATATAATATCAATGATAGTGGTAACTAGTGGATAATTATGTCATTTAGAAATTCAGGAAAGGCTTCAATAATTGTACCCCAATGAAATTGATATAAATAGCTTCATCTTTCCTAAAAAATTAGTTAAGTAAGATCTAGAATTTAATATAGTTGTTTTTATAAATTACTCAAATACACTATCTTCTGGCGTCAATACATTAAAAGACCTATTTTTCAATAGACACGTATGTGTTTGTATGCATTTTAACTGCTGTGTTTCTCCGTGCATTTCGTAATCGTTTTGTGGGTATCGGTAAGAGTGGGTGATTAGCCCGATCTTCACCACCCAGGTTACCGCTGACGTTAGTTCATGAGTCATTCGTCCCATTATCCAGGAGGCACGACGCGGACGTGTGAGTCGGTTTGCACCATCCGTGTCTTTTTTGCTTCGATTTTTAATGCCTCAAATATTTTCAATGTCAAGAAATATCTAATTAATTACATTTAATATGTATGTGTGTTTCTGTTGACAACTGAAAATGGTGTTTAATTCTTTTGGTGTTCTCAAATATTTAGTAGTCATTAGTTCTTAAATTGTAATTAGATTCTATTTGAGTGTATTTTTGATTTTACGTTAGTAGTAGTACGATTGTACCGTGTAAACTTGTTGGCATAGAAATACAACTGACGGCAACCTGATTCGCTTAGACTGTTTTTTCAGACTAATGATGGACAGTTAAATGTTCATGGGGTTATGTAATACGGTTACTTCATTTTTGTGAGGCATTGATATAATACGTAGAAAACAGGCACAAACATCCATACCTTATTTTTCAGCGTCTTCATAGTTATCCGTCAAATCCAAAATGATCATTGAATTTGTTTATATACTTTTGGCTAATAAAACATTGATACTAAATATGTCTGTAATTATTACTTACTTACGCCTGTTAATCCTCGTGGAGGCCGCCCACCAGTACTCTCCATCCAACCATGTCCTGGGCAATACTTTCCAGTTCTTTTCAATTGTTATTCTTTTCATATCTGCTTCTATTTCCCAACGTAGTGTGTTCTTTGGCCTTCCTCTTTCCCGTTTCCCTTCAGGATTCCAATTTAACGATTGCCTCGTGATGCAGTTTGATGATTTCCGCAATGTATGTCTTATCCACTTCCAACTTCTTTTCCTAATTTCCTCTTCATCTGGAAGTTGATTTGTTCTCTGCCACATCAAGTTATTGACGATGATATCCGGTCGACGAACATTGAGTATCGTACGTGGACAACTGTTTATAAATACTTCTCCCTTTTGACGATGGTTGTAGTAGTTCTCCATGTTTCAGCTCCGTACAATAGGACTGCACTGACGTTTGCATTGAAGATTCTGACTTGGATATTGGTTGACAGTTGTTTTGAGTTCCAGATGCTCTTCAGTTGTAGGAATGTTGTCCTTGAATTGTTGATCCTCACCTTTACATCTGAATTAGACCCTCCATGTTCTTCGGTGATGCTTCTCAGGTACATGAAGAATTCCACATCTTGGAAAGCTTCTCCATCAAGTTAGATTTGGTTGGTGTTCTCTGTGTTGTATCTGAGGATCTTACTCTTTCCTTTATGTATGTTAAGGTCTACTGCTGCAGTGGCTTCTGCTACATCAGTTGTCTTCACCTTCATTTGTTTGTGTGTATGGGATAAAAGGGCCAGATCATCTGCGAAGTTCAAATCGTCCAGTTGATTCCGTGATTTCCCTCAGATTTGTAGGTCTACAAAATCCAATCGACCATCAGAAGAAAGAGGAAGGGGAGAGTACGCAGCCTTGCCTGACTCTGGTCCTTACTTGAAACGTATCTATCAGCTGTCCTCCATGCACGACTTTGCACTGTAGTCCGTCGTGCGATTTCCGGATAATGTTGACAATCTTCTTAGGAACTCCATAGTGTCGAAGAAATTTCCATAATGTTTCCCTATCCACATTGTCAAGAGCTTTGTCATAATCAAGAAAGTTGATATCTAGTGGCGAATTCCATTCAATTGATTGTTCAACGGTGATCCGTAATGTCGCGATTCAGCCTGTGCACGACCGATCCCTATGGCATCTGGTCTGCTGATCTCGAAGTTGGGCGTCTGCTGATTCCTTCATTCAATTCAGTAACACTGTTGAAAACGTTTCCTGGTACCTACAGAAGTGTGATACCTCTATTGTTTTCACATCTGCTCAGATCTCCTTTTTTTGGTATTTTGACGGGGTATTCTTATTTTCTGAATATAACGTGATGCATCTCCGCAGTTACTTTCATATCTGACTGGTATATCGTCAGGTTCTGATCTTTTCTCGCTCTTGTGGACCAGACCTTTAGATCAAAGACTCTGGGTGTGGCCCCCTAAGGAAACCACCTGCTCCGGTTTGGGCTCCCGAACAGTATCATGGCCCTCACACAAATCTAATACAAAGTGTGGTGCATATCTATTTGTTGCCTCCTTGTACTAATGTTTATGTGTTTAAATAAATAAAGTAGTACTGAGCTCCGGATCAGGAGCCGCAGTGATTGATGTGATTCCTGTTAACGGTCATTTATGTGCTGCTAGATTAGAAAGCTGGGTAAAGATGAGAAGAGACTGGTAAAAACCGCTGTTTCTTGATAATCCACACTCAGATCGGTTTCATCCCGGACTTAATCAAATGTGAGTTCTGCCGTCAATCAAGTGATCCCAAGAAAGTGCGTTCGAACGATACTGTAGTACTAGCCTGAAATTTGAATGCGAAAGCCGTGGGAACTGACTGAGTTGTTGAGTTGCTGACACTAGGATAAAGTGGAAACTGCAGAGATTTTGACAATTTATGATACGGAACCATAGTACGAAAAACTCCGCCTGGAGTCCCTCCGGGGGCTATTGCCGGTCCCAAGCCCGGATAAAGGAGGAGGGTTGGGCATGGGGTTAGCGTCCCAATCCCGTAGAAAACTAACTCGCTAAAAAAACGCTAACCAAAAAAAATTATTCAAACCTTTTAAACTCTGCCCTGGGAGTCAGAAGGTCTTCATTTAGAAGAATTATGACGCCTAATGATGAAAGCCGAATTCCTTCGGAAGTTACGAGGCCGATGCCCCTTCTGACAACCAGAGCGACCATTTATTTAGGTACATGGAATGTTCGTACAATGTGGGACACCGGAGAGCCTTCCAAATTGCTGCAGAAATGAGAAGATACAACCTAGAGGTACTTGGGATCAGTGAAACACATTGGACGAAAGTTGGACAACAACGACTAACTACAGGAGAGCTCCTGTTATACTCCGGCCATGAAGATGAAAATGCACCACATACACAAGGAGTTGCATTGATGCTGTCCAAACAAGCGCAAAATGCGCTTATAGGATGGGAATCTCACGAACCAAGGATCATCAAAGCCTCCTTCAGAACAAAGAAGGAGGGCATTTCAATGAACAACATCCAATGCTATGCGCCTACCAACGACTACAATGAAGACGCTAAAGATCAATTCTACAATAGGCTGCAGTCAATCGTCGAGGAGTGCCCAACGAAGGACCTGACTATTCTGATGGGAGATTTCAACGCCAAGGTTGGAACGGTCAACACTGGATATGAAGACATCATGGGACGACACGGACTGGGAGAAAGAAACGAAAGTGGTGAGAGATTTGCAAACCTATGTGCCTTCAATAAGCTGGTCATAGGCGGGACCATATTCCCACATAAACGCATACACAAAACCACATGGACTTCACCGGATCACTATACATTAAACCAAATCAACTATATTTGCATCAACAAAACGTTCAGGAGGACTATAGAGGACGTGAGAACCAATAGAGGAGCTGATATAGCATCAGATCATCACTTGCTGATCGCCAAGATGAAATTGAAACTCAAGAAGCACTGGACAATGGGGCGGACAATATCACAAAAGTTCAATACGGCCTTTCTTCAGGATACTAACAAACTCAACAAGTTCAAGATAGTCCTCAGCAACAAGTTCCAGGCCTTTCATGATCTACTCAATGGAGAAGGGACTACTGTGGAGAGCAACTGAAAGGGGATCAAAGAGCTAAATACATAGAAGTAAACAAACAAGTGAAGCGGAGCATCCGAACCGACAAACGTAAATATGTGGAAGATTTAGCAACGACGGCGGAAAAGGCTGCAAGAGAAGGAAACATGAGACAACTGTATGACACGACAAAGAAACTCTCTGGAAATCGCCGCAAACCAGAACGACCAGTGAAAAGCAAGGAAGGCGAGGTAATCACCAACATTGAAGAGCAACAAAACAGGTGGGTAGAACACTTCAAAGAACTCTTGAATCGACCAGCTCCACTGAACCCACCCAACATCGAAGCAGCACCCACGGACCTCCCAATCAATGTTGGCCCACCAACAATTGAAGAAATCAGCATGGCCATCAGACAAATCAAGAGTGGCAAAGCAGCAGGACCGGACAACATCCAGCAGAGGCACTAAAAGCAGACGTAGCGGCAACTGCAAGGATACTCCACATTCTCTTCAATAAGATTTGGGATGAGGAACAAGTACCAAAAGACTGGAAAGAAGGACTTCTGATCAAAATACCGAAGAAAGGCGATCTCAGCAACTGTGATAACTACAGGGGCATCACTCTTCTCTCAATACCGGGAAAAGTCTTCAACAGGGTATTGTTAAACAGGATGAAGGACTGCGTAGACGCCCAACTTCGTGACCAACAGGCAGGATTCCGTAAGGATAGATCGTGTACAGACCAAATCGCAACTCTACGGATCATTGTGGAACAATCAATTGAATGGAATTCATCACTCTACATCAACTTCATTGACTACGAAAAGGCATTTGATAGCGTGGACAGAACAACACTATGGAAACTTCTTCGACACTACGGCGTGCCTCAGAAGATAGTCAATATCATACGGAATTCCTATGATGGATTAAACTGCAAAATTGTGCATGGAGGACAGTTGACAAAGTCGTTCGAGGTAAAGACCGGTGTCAGGCAAGGTTGCTTACTCTCACCCTTTCTCTTTCTCCTGGTGATCGACTGGATCATGAAGACGTCAACGTCTGAAGGGAAGCACGGGATACAATGGACATCTAGGATGCAGTTGGACGATCTAGACTTCGCAGATGATCTGGCCCTTCTATCCCAAACGCAACAACAGATGCAGGAGAAGACGACAGTGTGGCAGCAGCCTCAGCAGCAGTAGGTCTCAATATACACAAAGGGAAAAGCAGGATTCTCCGATACAACACAGCATGCACCAATCCAATCACAATTGACGGAGAAGATTTGGAAGATGTAAAAACCTTTACGTATTTGGGCAGCATCATTGATGAACAGGGTGGATCTGATGCAGATGTGAAGGCGCGGATCGGCAAAGCAAGAGCAGCATATTTACAACTGAGGAACATCTGGAACTCAAAGCAACTGTCAACCAACACCAAGGTCAGGATTTTCAATACAAATGTCAAGACAGTTCTACTGTATGGGGCAGAAACCTGGAGAACTACGAAAGCCATCATCCAGAAAATACAGGTGTTTATTAACAGTTGTCTACGCAAAATACTTCAGATCCGTTGGCCGGACACTATTAGCAACAACGTACTGTGGGAGAGAACAAACCAGATCCCAGTGGAGGAAGAAATCAGGAAGAAGCGCTGGAAGTGGATAGGACACACATTGAGGAAAGCACCCAACTGCGTCACAAGACAAGCCCTCACATGGAATCCTGAAGGTCAAAGGAAAAGAGGAAGACCAAAGAACACATTACGCCGAGAAATGGAAATAGACATGAGAAAAATGAACAAGAATTGGATGGAACTAGAAAAGAAGGCCCAGGACAGAGTGGGTTGGAGAATGCTGGTCAGCGGCCTATGCTCCATTGGGAGTAACAGGCGTAAGTAAGTAAGTTCCATAGTACGAAAGTAAGCTGGATGTAACCGGTGTATATTGGTCCATTACGACTCCTTAGTTAGAGTCCAAGAGACAGTGAAACTCATTGACCTTAGATATTATCAGACATGATTCACAGTAGAGGCCGTTGTCGATGCTTCTGTAAATTTCCTTTACATTCTTTAAGATAAGATAATTTTTGTTAACCGAATAAACTGTCTTGATCACATTTTTAGCCTACCTGTATTCTATTGTATACTATTCTCTTCCTAACTAAATTTCTTTTTATTTGTTCACAATATTTTCTCTCTATATATATGGAGCACATTTTTTGGTTTTGTTTGACTCACTATGAAAACCACCTGCTTCGTTTTGGGCACTTAGGCAGTATCACAGCCCTCACACAAATCATATGAGATTTGTGTGGCGCATATGTATCTGGTGCCCGATTGTACCAATATCTATGTGTTCAAATTAATAATAAAAATGGTGATCTGTAGCTATGTCAGTACCTCTTCTGGTTTTCACGTCTTCCATTGCCTTCTGACCTTTGCAGTAATGCAAATATGATTTATCTGTTTCTCCGTGTTGTGGTCTGGTGAGATCCATGTAGCTCTGTGTATGCGTCCGTGTGCGATGTTGGGTACATAGATTTACAAGTCTATCACCGTTCTCGTTTCTTTCTCCCAGTCAGTCGCTGTCATTCCATGATATCTTCATATCCGTTGTTGTTCGTTCCGATTTTGGTGTTTAGATCTCCCATCAGGATGGTGAGGTTTTTTCTTAGGCACTATGATGGACTGCAGCCTATCATATAACTGATCTTTATTGTTGTCGTTGCTATCATTAGTCGGTGCATAACATTGGATAATATTCATTGTGATCCCCTCCTTCTTTGTTTTGAATGATACTTTGATGATCCTGGATCCGTGAGATTCCCATCTTACAAATGCATTTCGTGCTTCCTTGGACAGCATTAGAACAACTCGCTGAGCGTGCTGAGCACTTTCTTCCTCGTGAGCAAAGTACAACAGCATCTCCTGGATCTATCCTTTGCTATTCAGCTTGAGTTCAATGTGTTTCGCTGATTCTGCGCACCACCGATTTGTATATCCTCATTCTCGTTGCTTTTTGACTGGTCGTCCCGGTCCCCCACATTGTCCGTACATTCCATGTACCTATAAAATTGTTGCTCTGTTTGTTAGAAGGGGCATCGGTCTCGTGACTTCCTAAGAATCTCGGCTTTTATCATAACGCGTCATAATTCTTCCTTCATCTCAGATGGCAGAGTTTAAATGATTTGATTTGTTTAATCTGGATGGCGTTATTTTAGCGAGATTGTTTTCTACGGAGTGGGGTTGCTGACCACATGCCCAACCTTCCTCTTTTACCAGAGCTTGGGACCGGCAGTAGCTGTAGAAGAGCTACAGGTGGAGTTTCTGTAGTTATACTCTCTATGAAACGTTTTGCAAAATTGATATTACTCACTATTAGATGACGTATTACTGGGCTTTATTATTTCGGAGTACACCTGTTTGTGATCAGATCAATAATATTTCACAGATATATGTATTTATTCAATACATAAGCCGGTAAATTTTTAATCATGTTATCGTCAAGCTGACAGAAGTTAATTATTTAAAATGTTGGTCAAATTTGTTTCATTAGTGTTTTAGTATGTTCATTCTTTATTTAATTCCTAATGTTTAATATGCTATTATCTTAGTCTTACTTACGTTCTCTCTTTTTATATTCTAGTTAATTTGTACTTGTATATACTATTAGGTGAATACAGGAAATAATCATAGTTAGGGTCAGTATCAAGAGATTACGATATAGTTTTGTTTATGGGATAGACGTCCTCTAGTAAAAAAAATATCTCGAGAAAGTCTACCGTGGTTTCTATAATCCTTGTGTTGATGATATGAACTGATGATTCTGTCTGTGATCTCTTAGTTGGTTGTCTTAGAGAATAAATGTCATGTGATTTACATTGATTCGTCTGTCTATCTGGTGTTGATTTCGTGAGTCATTCTTTTTTCCTTGAGTATTCAGGAAAGATGAACCAGTTGTAGAGTATTACGCTAGAAAACACTTATGGGTGCGCATTGTTGTGGAGTTTAAAAGTAGAACGAAACGGCTGTCTAGATCCTCCTCTTTTTTAATAGTTTCACGTCTGATATCAATCCATAGCGAACATCGTCATCTCATTAAGTTAGTCTTTACAACCAACTGAAACTGAAATATCTCCAAATTAATAACACATGTGCTTCATTTGAAGATATGCTATTGAATAGAAATGAAACTAGGTTGTAATTCTATTAAGAAATTGTTTTCCTATAACATTGTTACAAGTTTCTGTTATATTTGTTGATTGTGTTTTCTAGTTATGTTTATAAACGCTTACGTTTCTTGGGCAATAAAAATTTATCTCAAATAATATCATTATTATTTTTGGCACTTTGGCATGGCACATACAGTGGCTATTATGTCAATTTTGGAATAGAATTATTGGTAGTGACAGTTGAAAAAGATGTAAGTTTTTATGTTTTATTATATACACATTTTTATATGTTTCGCGATCTTGATTATTTCAATTCTCGGTTATTCAGTTAACTCTTTATTGAACTGATAAAGCCAATGTTTGTAGGATAAAGTAGTATGGAGGTGTTACGCGGCGTGAATCTACGTAACAAATGTAGAAACAATTTGAAAAAATAATATTTTCGCATAATATTTAAAACTCATATAAGTGAAAAATATTGTTGTCCTGAATACACATAGTTATATATATATCCTGTGGAATGTATCGAATATTGACTATGCTTACTTAGCGATTAAGCAGTCAATATGTTAAAAACACCTGTGATCAAATTTGTACAGTCCGCATACTGTGTTATCCACTTGCAATAATTATGTTACAAATATGTGAAGCTATACAATGTGAACTGTTGTAAAGTATTTTTTTATTTGACAGATAAGAAACATCATGAATCTCAGCCAGGATTCATCGGTCGCTCACCTTTAAGAGATAATTAAACTCTCAAGGTGATCTGATCAGCACATGCATCTTGGGCGAATGATTTTAAAAAGCATAAGGCAATGTTCTAATCGAACTGATCCTCTTTTTGCTCGCCAAAGGAAACTGTTTTTGCAAACTACAATAATAAATTAAGACTTATTTGAGGAGAGTATGGTTTAAACTTCAAATTACTTTAGATAGTATCACTATTTTCAATTACCACTGGTGAAAACTTTGCAGGTTCTAGTTACCTTGTTTCACATAGAATTAGTCACAATCTCGACTTTTCTAAAATCTAGCACTAATATATCATTTTTATATTCGTGTTTCTGGTATATACTAGTCTATTGTAGTGTCTCTAGGTCATTTTAATTGTTTGTTTGAGTGTTTCACTCTAATGTTCAATCATTTAGCTTTAAAACAGAGTATGTTGGTTTATGTTTTGTTTTGAAAACAAAATGGGTATGTGATTAATGATTGTCTTCATTGCATAGTATCATCTAAAATTTAGTGAAATTTTTGGTCAGACTATAATTTGTTGATGAACCAGTGAAATCAGAGATAACAAGTCTTGGATTTTGGCGCGAGATTCACTCATGTATATAGTTAAATAGCATTTTGGCAATATAGCTGATGTCAGTTCGTGATGAAAACCCTAAGCCTAACTTCTGAATCTTAATCCTAATCATAATTCCTCACATTAATTTATGACCTTCTTTTGGCCCTAGCGGGTAGATGGATTTTCCGAGGGTCACTTTAGCGTTACTCAAAAATTGAAAACTGAATTTTCATATTTTAGCATAGAACAATGTATAATCTTTCAATTCTAATGTAGTTGCTAGTGTGACAGTTGATATGTTTGTTCGATGATAGTTTTTCTCACAATCCAATGAATTTACTGTACCTCGCTGTTTTCTCGTCAATCACATGTAACTCGAAAGATTTTAATTATCTCAAATGTAAACGAAGTAAAGAAATGAACTTTTTAAAAAGGTTTTTATACTTGTTTAGAATGATGATTCTAGAATGTGTCATTTATTTTTTTTTACGTGATATAACGAAATCTTTAGTATGTGTATCGGAAAAAAGCTCGTGTGAGTTTAACCTACCAAATGGTCTTCATCAACGAACCAGGATTCATGGTTTGACTAAACGCAACTAGCTACCTACAAAATATAACGTTTAACCAACGGAATCATTCAAAGTAGTCAGTGAATTGTCTAATTTTATCTGCTTAGGATTTGCGAAGGCTATGGCAATCAGTAGGCTTAAGCCTAACCTTTATATTCAAAGGGTCAATGTTTAACCGTCAACTACCGTAGTAAACAAGCGAATTAACCATTCCGACCTTTTTGCTCCAATTAATTATAATGAAAATTTAGTGAGTTTAAGTCGCACGTTACTTTTATTGTTCCTAGATGTCCTGGATTACCTGCCATATTACGGCAGTAAATTATCTTAAATATGTTATAACCATCGCACTAAACAATTCTAAGAAATTTTGATGGAGTTTTGTTGGTCGATGACCAAACATCCAGCTCAGATAACAAAACTCCATCAAATCTTCTCCACCATCTCAAAATTCTAAAAAATGTTGCAAAAATTTATTTCTTAACTTCTTTTGCATTCCAAACGAACAATTCGTTTTCTTCTAATTGAATGGTACGTTTATATTTGAATATAGTTAAACTTATTAACCTGTATGTAGTTAAAGCGAAAGCAAGGAAATACAATGAATTCATCGTATTCTGCAAATACTGTTGTTTTTTCCATCTAAGTTTATGAAGGGAACCAATAGCATTAAATCAGCTAACTTGAGAACTCTTTTTATTTATGGCAAGTCATTGTTTGAAATTTACGGACTATTATAATATACATATTCCTTTTATCATTAGCTTTCTATTGACTTACCAACTACTGTTATACGATTTACTATTCTTAATCTGTTCCTAGTTTTTTATTTACTTTATCTCCTACTCATGGCCACTTTTGGCTTATTCATGTATAATTGATGTCTTTCATTTTATGGTGTGATATTGTCTGATATAATCGTGTATAGACTACTCATTAATAAAATATAATGTAGTGGAGGTTGGTTACTGACTTCTAAACTCAACAGGCAGGATAGAGATGCTACAGAATCGTGGACCGATAAGGACTTAGTAGTTAACTTAAGATTACTAGTGCTGATTGGTGATTGATGAAGTCAGGGATACTAAGTCATAGAAATTGCGATTCTGATTATTGGCTTTTTCACATGATATGGATCAGTGGTCAAAAGTAACAATTATTTTCAGTTTTTTGAAAGTGTATATGATTGCACTTCATAATTATAATTAGTATGACTGAGTTATTCTTTCTCAATATATGTACATATGCTATTGTTGTTTTTTGTTTCTAATAAGTTTTTATCCATACTGAAGAATTCAAAATACAATCATTTCTTTTATAAAACGTTTACTGGACGTGTAATCAGCAGTGTATGTGGCAAACTTCATATTTATTTTATTCTGTCCAGTTCGATGGTAGCGTTTTATTTGTTAAAATTTCATCTATGGTTCCCTGTAAGTGATTTTATTGTTAATTATTTTCAATTGTCAAATAATCCGAAACCAATTTTTTATTAACTTAAATAATATTTAATAATTAGATTTACATATTCTTTTATCCTGAAGTGATATCAAGTGGGAAATCATTAGAAATTAGGGGGTATTGTAAGGTTGTTCTGTCCTAATTGGATATTCATCAGAAGATTTTTGGGTTGTGAACTGTATTTATATAAATTTTGGCAATGTCCAAAACAGTTACTATGTTGAGATTGAAAGTATTTTCTTCAATATTAGATGAAGCACTATTAACTGTACTATATTAGAAACGGTTTTGATTTATTCGATCCCAGTCCTCACGGTTTACTTCTTATTTGTCTGTTTTGTAACATTATCTATGTATTTTTTTACTACAATTATATATAAAGGGTTTGAATATTTACTCTATGAGAAATAAAAGTTTCTTTACTCATTTGAGTACAACTAACGTTGTATATTTTGTTTATTTCAAGCAAACTTCTTTGTTACCTTATATATATATATATATATATATATAGGGCAGCCAAAACAATATGTACTGTCAGTTCATATAGTCATTGTCTGTTTTACTGAACTGTTTAAGTAGGTTCAGAGTACCTGGATAGCATTTGGCTATCGTCGTAACGAATTGTTGTAGATGTTGTGTGATATTGATCAGAATCGGTCACAATAGTGTCGATGCTTTCACTTTTTATCTTTTCTTAGATCTTCATTTTGAAATTATCTTCTATTTTACTATCTCACAAATTCATTCTTCTCAAACCTTATTATCTATCTCTAGTCTCTTCTATTACCACTGATTTCCTTTCTATTTCTACTACTCTGCCATCTCATTGTGATGTAGAGCATGTTGAACTAATGGACATATATGACAAGTACTACAGTGCACATGACTGACTGATAATATCCATATAATTTACTCCGTAACTTTGCTTTTACTATCCAGGCATTGAAATCAATTTATTTCATTGGTTTATGGTATGTATTTTGGCCATTAATAAGACCAACTGTCAAATATCTACTACCACCATTACCGAAATCTCAATCAGAAAAGTCATCTCAACTTTCAACAACAATGAATGGTGACGTCACTTCCGTCATTGATCAGTTATCATCAAGAAAACAACAGTGATACGATAGCATAATATAATTGTATTTATTTCCTTACCGTGTTCATTCAAATATGTTAAATATATACATATATGTGTACGTATCTATGTGAATACGAAGATCGAGAAAACATGAAACTGTGACTTTATTATTGTTGACCTGTTGTGCCTTTCTTCTATCATGAGTAAATTAAGATGACAAATAAATAATAATGACTCGTTCATATTGTACGATACTATATGAATTTATATGTGTTAGTGTACTGTTCATCCTATTATTTCTCTTCAATTTACTCACTAAATGGATAGATTGAGCACATTTATCTTTAAATTGTTCAGCAAAGATTTTTTAAATAATTAACAACAATCCATATCATTTTTAACATTTCAATTTTTATTTTTCTTATATCCGACTAGATTTTTTCCATGTGTTTTTCATTAAGACTAATTGTCTATATTATTATAACTATTGCTGTTATTATCATTGTTATCTGTTAAATTTCTTTTTCCTTGATGAGATGGATATGATTTACTTTGAAACAACTTGTAACAGACAATGAATAGCTTGAATAATCAATCTATACTGTGGCAGTACTTTTAAGTATTTTTGCTTCTATTATTATTATTATTATTATCTTTCTTTCTGCTATATATTTTAGTTTTTATCTAAGCCTACACTATGTACTTCTACTTTTCTATGTATTTTATCTTGTTATTGGGAATCATCAAATTGTTAATTAGTGTTTTCCTCAATTCCTTGTCATTTTATTTCTTCCACTTTGTGTCTCTTTCTGTTATTTTATTTTTATCATTAGCAGATCTACCTCTAAATCTACACTTATTCATTTTTTTCTATTGCAATGTGATATTTTTTAAGAAAACAGTATCTCTGGCTACCAGTACTAATCATATAAATCAACTTCACGAGTGTATAGCAAATTTTTAATCGAGCGATGCCTTATATATATATATATATATATATATATATATATATATATATATATATATATATATATATATATAGCAGTCGGTTCTGTATTCCTCCATGTTTACATAATTTTTCCCCTAAAGTATCATTTATTCATAACTGTTAGTTTTAGCGAATACCACAGATATATCAGCGAGAAACGTAGGTTATTTTCCATATTTTCAAACTTTCGACACATTTTGTTTGGTTGAATTATTGTAGGATAATATTCTTTCAGCTTTAGTTTTATACTATCTTTCTTCTCTGACCTGTTATATTTTGCTTATTTGGAGGATTTAATATCATCTAAGTTGTGAAATTATCCGATCATTTATAAATTCATGTATGGTATTTTATAAATATAACGGAAATCATCATTATACATTTTTCCTTGCTAAAATATTTTTCAGATAAGATTCCTCACTTTTGTTCGAACTTTTAACGACGAATCCAAATAATTGGAAGTTTCTAGGCTATTTGCATGTTCAGTCCTTATAAAATTATTGTTACACTTAGTCCAATACATGAATCTTTACTTACGCTGTAGAATGTATTACGTCATATGGGTAGTCAGAATCGAGATGGCTTCTTTCGTTTTGTGCACACAACTCTGTGTGGGTTATGGCCGGCTTTGTTAGACTACGAAACAGAAATTTCCCACTTCGTCAAATATACTTGACGCTTTATGCGTTATGCGGTCACTGTGATTTTCCACACTTGATCTGGGATCAGCGTATTGCGAAGTGAAAATACGAGTTTAGAAGAAAACTGAACCATTCTCTGTAGTATTATGATTAACTACCAGAACTAAACTTAGCCTTAAATCTTTCTCGATTATTTACTGACGGTCTGCTCCGAAACAACGGCGACTATTATTAAGCTTTCTATCAATTCAGCATGTAATACGCCTGTCTTGTGTAACGCAGTCTGACATGATGAATAAAAATAACAGTCACAATGAAATTCAGAGGATAATCTCGTTTTATAAAAAAAACTAATAATATGACGAATCTATTGACTATATGACGTTAAACATGACCGTTATTTCGGCCTATGATTCACTCATTTGACGTAACAACGTTGAGTATATTTTCACTATCTCTTGAGAACACATATACCTTAAGATAAGTCTTTAGCGGTTCGAAGATCGACGTCCACTTCTAAACCAGTTGGCGCACGACAGTCTCAGATCGCGTGTCCAATATTTTATGAAACTATTTATGTTTTTATAAACGATCTAGAAAAATGTTGGTTTACATTTAAGTTAGTGGAGTTCTGTAGAAAAAACTACAAGTTAAAAATCTCTGCGAAAATTTACCAGTCATTTAGAATAACCACATCTGAGCTCTGTGACCTGTTCAACGAAAGGTCCTTAGTCTAAATTATGCATTACTTCACTGATTGGTAACAGTTTCAAAGTACTTTTTGAGTTACTCAAAGTCGGAAATATGTCTTTGACAGTCATATACTGTCCAATCCTAAATGTGTAGAGAAAATATTCTTAAAGTTACCGAGCTTCTCTTCCGTATACCAGATTTTGTGCAGTTTAATATTCGCATAATATGTTATACCGTGGTCTTGAGTCTATATTTTAAATATTTAATTCACTGACAACCCAATGTGAAATCTTTTTCGCATGTTGTTTCATGAATTTGCCTAGAAATCCTTTTATATGTTTCCCATGTGACAGTTTCTCCTTACATGCAACGTTATTCCCACTAGTCTCTCTACTTATGTATATTATATTTATATTTTAGTTGATTTTAAAGTTACTGTTTTCTTTTAGTTTATGGTCTGATATTTTTCTGACTGCTAGTTTGTTTCTCTTGACCTTGAATTTTAGTGGCTACTGTATTCGGTAACCGTATTCTTGGCTATTCTTTTTTACTGCGATTCATTTAATCTATACCCAAGGGTTAAAAACTTCGTTTTTTACTTGTTAGGAACATTGTTGATAAGTAATTAGTCGCGAATCGTGACTTTTCATTTAATTGTTACATTATATTTTGATTACTGACGTTTGGAGCAAAATAATTTTACTTGTCTCATTTTCGGTTAGTACAGCGTTCGTTGCTTGACGCGAACGGTTTCTTCTACTTGACGAGTGCTGAGTCCATGCTTCTTAACTAATTAATTATTTGATGTCGTATGGTTTGATTACACATGGTAGTCTTACAAATTATTGAAGGTTCCTGTTGTAAAAATTATTGTTCAGGTATATATTTGTACATATATATACTTTGACAGTACTGCTTTTGTACCATTTTGTACACTTTTATATGCAGTCATTGTCTGATATCATCTATTGATGTATTTGAAACGCGTAAATGAGGAATCCAAGGGTAAAGAATTATAGGAATTCTTGTCCTTACACCCAGTTTGCCATACTTCAAACGGTATTCAAAGTAATGGTTATATTTCGGAAGCTAATTTTGTCAATACTTTAAGTTACCGCATTTAATTTGAAAATTTCTAATCAAACACAAATATTTCAATCACTATTTTGATAGAATATCAGTAACAAACATTTAGATTGATTTGATTTGACGTACCGTTTTCTAGCACGTTTTTCCAAAATTTTCCAAAATAGTTATCATTATAAAGTATACTGTAATTGTTTAATCTCATAAGTATTCGCCTAATAATATGTGGGGGTGAATATATAGTTTTGTTAAGACAATTAATACTAACTTTGGTTAGCAAAACAAAGTTAGAATCTGTGGTTGGTTTATTCAAAATTGAATGTTTCAATCAATAAATTTCAGTTACATGATGAAATTATTACCAGAATGGGTTTTGTGGAGAGTTTTAGAAATTTCACAGGTTGAAATCATGAGTCGATTGAAGCTAGAACACCATGGAAAACCTGGGAGCACTGGACGGCCGTTTCCTCCTGGTATGGGACCCCTCAGCAGTGCGCATCCACGATCCCGCACCATGCGGGGCTCGAACCCAGGACCTACTGGCTCCGTGCGTGAGCACTTAACCACTAGACCACTGAGCCGGCATCCAACGGTGTTAATGTCAATCGACTCATGATTTCAACCTGTGAAATTTCTAAAACTCTCCACAAAACCCATTCTGATAATAATCAACTGCTCACTAGTGACTGACTTCAAGAAAAACTACTGGAGTTCTAGTGAGAGGCCGTTACCAGTGGAGTTCAACCAGGTCTGTTGTGAGATAGTAACTCACTGAAGACAATAGTGCACGGTGGCGCAACTTCGTGGATTGGTTGAAGTTAGACATTAACACCGTTGGATGCCGGCTCAGTGGTCTAGTGGTTAAGTGCTCGCGCACGGAGCCAGTAGGTCCTGGGTTCGAGCCCCGCGTGGTGCGGGACCGTGGATGCGCACTGCTGAGGAGTCCCATACCAGGACGAAACGGCCGTCCAGTGCTCCCAGGTTTTCCATGGTGTTCTAGCTTCAATCGACTCATGATTTCAACCTGTGAAATTATTACCGACTGTTTAAATCAATTTAGGAATTTATCTAGAAAATCAACTAACTCAAACGAAGAGAGCTAGAACACTTATTGTCTTTCAATTCAAAAATGAAAATGAGGCAGAACACCTGCTTTATGCAGGGATTAATTAGTAACACACAACAGATAATCATTCGCCCTACAATGTTTGTTGCTCATTAACAATCGTCACGCATGTAGAATATCACTGATGAATCACTAAACTCCATAGACTAATTTATGAGTGTATATTTCCACAAAATCATAGGCTATTTAATTATAAGTATGAAATTCAGGAACCAATTTAGTGTTTATGACCAATAGAATATCTTAATATGCTGTTATTGATTTTCTGATAATAATAATATTGGCATAGGTCTTTGTTGTAGTCTGTTCTCTTTTACTTTCCTTTGTGTCTATCACCTGCCCATGTCTAAACAAAAAAGCAGACTAAAGTTCTACTTCTTTATGGGAATTTAGCATATCAGTTTGTATATAGCTTCAATACATACCAATTCAACAAGTGAATCAATGAATTTGTAAGATTGATCTGGAGAAAACTAAAGGTCCTGTTTGTTTACAGGGTAGATATTGAGTAACCACAATGAGATTATTTCCTGTTCATGTTTTTCACAAAAGTGTGTCGTTTTTATAAATGTATAATATTCATAATCTACATTATGTAACAAAACGCTGTTTACTTCATGTATTAATAAAGAGCAAATGACGAGTGAAAAATTCAAATCTGATTTCAAAACAGCAAAAGGCTGTAAATTTGGGACGAATTAAAAACTCAATACCGAAATATTTTTCAAGATGGCCATTTAAGTTAAAAAATATTCACAAATGTTTAAATCATTGTTACGATATTATTAGCAGTTCATGCTTGAGTTCCATCAGTTCTCAATCATCTTCTATTGTATTCTGTGAATAACTGCCTTACACCAGATACGATTGAATCCCGCTGATCATGACTTTTCACCAGAAATCAGGACATTTTCTCACAATAACATTCAGTGATTTCCACAAAAACCCCATACTCATAATTTAAATACTATTCCTAGCAGATTTTGATAAAAATACCAGAATTATTTCAGACACAATGCCAACATTATATATATGTCCGTTAAGAAGTGACATAAATATTTAATAAGGTACCAATCGTCATTCAATTCCATCAGAATGCTAGGAAAGTTTTTGTTTAAACAGGTTAAGATTCCCGTAAATAGAAGCCATATTTATAGTTCCTAAATAAATAGAATAGAACAATGTTTACTGGTGCATAGATAATTAGTGCACGTAATTTTTAAGTATATCTTACATCGTATTATTAACATTGATTATACGTTATGTGAAAGGTAAGTAACTCATTAGTAGCTTTGAATTGAGTTGATTTTCAAGGATTATAGTGGTCTGATATATATCTTTGTGTTCCTACTTTAGGTAAATTATTTATTAATACAATTGATCTACAAGTTTTATTACCAACTCACTATACCGTTTGATTATAAGTTTATCAACCTACTGGAATCAGAGATATAATTAAATTTAGA